ATAGCTAGTGAAGGTGGCACCAGGATTTGAATTCAGGCAGTCTGACTCTTAACTCACACTCTTAACCTCTACACAATATTGCTTCTCCAGATCAGACGTAATTTAGGAAAAAAAGTTCCAGGTAAAAAAAATGTCAGAAAATCAACTAACATTTTCACTAAAGTATGAATCGAGGGACTGAGTGTTCCCTTCTACCCTCCTCCACTTTGCGGCTTCTGGTTCTGAAATTTAGTAGAAGCTGCTTGCTCACAGTTGGCTCAATCAATAAATGATAAGCAAACTTCACAAACTCCAAACTTGCTCCACTCCTCCTGTCTGATCGTGGGATGGGAGACTGAGCAGACCCACTGCGGGGGTGGAATCACTCAATCATGCTGAAAATGACATCTAAATAAATAAATAAAGTCAGGTGCACCATCTGGGCCCCACACACAGCATGGGCTCTGGTGCAGCTGCTGGGGGCTGTTTATTCTGGGCTGTCTTGGACAGAGAAGGAGAGACCTGAGTTGAGCTGAGGGTAAAGAATCTTCCAGGTTCCAGGGTATGAGCTGAAGCCTATTAGTGCCTGAAGCCTTCTCACCATTTGTAACCCACGCTGGACTGCCCGAGCTTGGCTTTCCTCAAAAACTCCCAGTCCCATCTTCTGGATCTTCAGTTCAAAAGTCACAGTTTCCTAAGCAAACCCCAGACTTTTTTCTGTGTTGAATGAATGAAAAGATTCAGCCAGGCCACGGCTGTCACCTTTGTTTTCACACATTGGCTCTAATTAAAGCTTAGGTTCTTTCTATCTAAAATTGGGATAGTGAGCTACCAAGTGGGCTATGGTGAGGAGCACGAGATAACCCATCTAAAGCGCTTAGCACAGAGTTTGGTACCTGGCCAGGATTAAACACGAGTCAGCAATGATTAATGGTGATGATGCTGATGTTAGCTGGTGTTCTGCCCTCATCCCCTCCTCATGATCATTCTCACTGTCCCCTGCACCTGGATCATCTCCACATCTCTCTGTCCAAGTTCTAACCCCTGGCAAGGCCCAGCTCATATGGTCCTTAAAGACTTCTGTGGCTCTTCAAGGAAGAAATGATCTCTCTCCCTTCACACAGCATGTCATAACAGTGCTTCTAGCTTCTAGAAAGACCAGTTATATTATTCCTGAAGTCTCAGCAGTCTTGGCAAACTTTCATGGCAGATGCCTTTGCTATTTAGGGTCATAACAGGGTCAGTTTCGACTCCCCTTCTGTCCTCCTGATCATAGGTGTTGCTGTGGCAACCCCCCTGGCCTCCCTGTCCTTTGGAATAGTGAATGCCCGCATGTCAAGTGCCAAGCTCTAGCTGGGATGTGATGTAGCAAGTTCTTTTACGTCAGCAGTCTCCCTTGCAGAATCTGCAGGTTGACTTAGCATGTTCTTCCTGGAGGAGTGGGTGGAAGGAGCTCTCTTCTTGTATGCGGTGGTCGAGGGTATATCTCAGAAACTAGCCCCTTGATTTCTGAGATGCTTAATGATATCTCATTGGCTTGGCCCTTTTCTGGGTCCTTAAAAAATAATAATTACTGGTTATCAAATCTCCCTATGTACTAAGCACTGTGATAAATACAGAATATGCGATATCTTATTTACTCCAATCAGTATTTCTATGAGATAGGCACTACTATTATCACTATTTGACAGATGGATAAGCTGAGGCTAAGAGGAGCAAAGGAAGTGACCAAGTTCACACTACTGGTAAACAGCAGAAGGGAGACTCGAGCCTAGAACGTCAGACTCTAGAGCCAGAGTTCATAACCAAAATGATGTTGAGTTTGTCAGGGTACCTCTGAAGGTTTTTTTGTGTGTCACAAACAACGTATGCAAGGAAACCTGCAAAACAAAACAATAATTGTACTGAGATAAGTATTGTTCTTTGAAATAAGTAATGATGTCCTCATAAGATAATTTACCTTGTTTATTTGGAAATTTAAATCTCTGAATGATGACTGACAGGACTGATCAAATTCTATAATTTCTCTTTTTTTTTTGGTGAGGAAGACTGCCTCTGAGCTAACATCTGTTGCTAATCTTCCTCTTATTGCTAGAGGAAGATTGTTGCTGAGCTAACATCTGTGCCAGTCTTCCTCTATTTTGTACGTGGGATGCTGCCACAGCATGGCTTGATGAGGGGTGTGGGTCCACACCCAGGATCCAAACTCATGAACCCCAGGCTGCCAAAGCAGAGCATGTGAACTTAACCACTATGCCACTGGGCCAGCCCCAAATTCTATGAGTTTTAATACATGTTCTGGTCTTAGGTGAAAAGTGAAGATGGACAAAACACTGTATTCAAATAAATATTTGAGCCTCAAGCAGAATATTAGGGATTCAGCCTGCTTTGTTTAGGGGTCTCTGTCATGTTTGTCTCCAAATAAGAACAAAGGTCTCCCCCATGCATATGGCCCCCAGGAAGCAGTCTGTCCGACAGCAAATTCTTCCAAGGGCTCTGGAGGAGCTGTTTCAATCTTAAGTTTGCTCAAGCGTCGGGAAAGCTGACTATCCACCAGTTCTACTCGAATGTGGATTTGCTCTGCCCGTGGGCACCCACCTTTCTCTACAGCCTCCCAACAGCATCTCCAATAAATAAACTGAGTGTGGGCTCAGTGAGAGGCAGGCGTGGATGCCATCTCTCCCATCTGGAATCACCCGTCATTTCCCTGCTTCCCCAGCTTCCCCCACGGTGGTACTTCATTTCATTATACTTAGTTGTCATATGTACTTCTCCTTTACTACTGTATGTGCTCTGTGAGGATCAGCAATTCCCTACTACACACATTCATAGATGATCGATCAATGTTTGGGGGATTAATAAATAAATAGTTCCAGCATAGGACTTTTTCAACAAAGCGATGAACAATTGAGAATATTCTAGGTATATCTCGAAGGATGATCCACACCAGAATTTAAAAGGTGCCCTTCAACTTGCACCGTAATATCTTCACACATACCACCTGGGACTGTGTCTTCCCTGGAGCATCAAGTCGGGGGTTGTACTGCAGCCAGTTCCACATCCCTTGAAGAGGGGATTATTTGGGCTTAGTGCTCCTCTACACCCCAATTCCAGACCTCCAGCCCCTTTGAGTTCCACTAAAGCTATGCCACTTAACTTTCAGACTGTCCCCCACACAGCAGGTATCCTGGCAGGATTGGTGTCCCAGCCTTCTCAGTGAGGAGCTTAGACAATTAGCTCGGAAATTCTGTTCCTTCTTCACCGGGTGCTTTCTTGTGTTGGGTCAAGTCCTGGTATTTCATTAGGATAATAAAAGGGAGAAAGTCAAACTCTCAGAATGTGAAAGTCTTCCATATAATAAAAGCTGACTGGTAATTTATGGCTGTTCCACCTAAGGGTGACTTTGGGATCAATACAATCTTTAGTTGGACTTTCAGAGACTCAATTCATAAAGGCTCTCAGCATGTCATTAGTAGGGTGCATCAGCCAGTTCACCTCCCAGAAGGCCGCCAGCGAGATCCAGCTCATCCTCAGACTGAAAATCTCTTGAGCAGGCGGTCTGGTTGGGTGGTCTCACCGCCTCTCCCCGTCTTGCAGACAACTCTACCTAACACAGAGTCCATGCAGCTTGGTCCTTTGGTGGTGCCTACGTCTTTGCAGACTTTGTCCAAATGCTTCCTCATGCCGTGGGGAAAAAGACATGCACTTCACCTCCCTTCCTATATCCAGGGCAGTAAGTGTCCAGAGTCTGAAAGCCTGACCAGATTTACAAGCCATGAGTTGTGGTTTTTCCTGCTTAGCTCAAATGTCCTTGGCCTTCTACCGTCCACTAACCCTCCCTTACTGGTCAGAGTCTATGCAGCCGTGAGTGAGTCTTCTGGGTCCCAGGCTCCATTTTAGCCTGAGTGGGCTCTGTTTCCTTTCTTTCTGAGTAAGGGGCTGCTGCAGAGTTTGCGCACTGTCCTGAACTTGGCCAGCCCATCCTCTCCCATCACAGGTCCAGCTTCCATGTAGCCTACTGGCCTTGGCAGAGTAGGAAGTACAAAGGGCGCACACTGTCCAAAGCTTCTTAAACAAGGCTCACTCCTGCACACTGTGGAGACTTTTCTCTAAAGCCATGTAGTTAACATGTTTTTGTCAGTTAATTCGTGTTAAGTTTATTCATTGGGCATCTGTCCTGTGTACGGTGCTGTGGTGGCTGTCAGGTACAGTGGAAATACAGAGATGATTCATTGACTCTTATCCTCAAAGAGTAGCAATCTTACAGCAGATGTGACAGGAGCACAAATAACTAGGAATTGTGGTAAAACATAAGTACCATAATGGTGGTAAAAATAAAAGTCTGCAGACAGTTGGAGAAGAACTTATTTCTTGGTTGATGAGATGAATTAATTATGCTTAATTTATGTGCTTTATAATTGAGATGCTTGTATATGAGGTTTGTTTAAAGAGAGGTGGTAGGAAGCCCACTTGTTCTGGGTTCTTCTAAGAATAGAGTGTTTCTCTAAATCCCCACTCCCTGTGTACCATCCATCGTTGGAACCACATAGGCTGCCAGGGGCTCAGTGAAAGAAGTGGAGAAGAACGACCTATCTGAGGGAGGCCCCCCCGGAGGCCGCGCTGTCAGAAGCCGAGCAGCCAAGTCTGCCCGGATCCTCCTTGTTGGAGACACTCTCTCAGGAGCCCTCAGGGAACTGACGAATCCGCAGGCTGATCTCTGAGGCAGTCTCAGATTGATACCCCTGATTGGAAAACAGGGCCCAGTGCTATTAAGAGTGGTGACGGCTTTCAGACGGGGCATAAACCAATTGTTAAAGACCCCCCAGCATATTCACCAGAGCGGGAGAATTCATTTTGGTATAGGGGAAAAACAACCATTTGGGTAATTACATTCTGTTTCTCGGCGTCTCCTCTAACACATTAGCAGGAGATAATATTCCACATTCTAAGTCCAGCACCATCCCACAGCGCTCTATTAAACAGCTGTCACCTTCCTCCCCAAAACTGGATGCATTTCTCAGCAGGAAGAAGGACTCCCTGCGTGTGAGTGCGTGTCAACCGCATCAATCCTGGCTTGTAGAAAATGTACTGGCAGGGCGAGAGGCAAAGCATTGTGGTGGGAAAATCACAGGACTAGTGGTAAAGAGACCAGATTCTGGATTTGCTCAGCTGTGACTTGCTGTGTGACCTTGGGTAAGTCTCTTAATTTCTCTGGTGCCAGGGTTTCCAAAGCTGTAAAGTGAGGCAGCCTGGAGAGGTGATTCACATGGCATCTGCGGTTTGGGGTTACCATGTGGGCTCTTTCTCAGGAGACCGTGGGCTCTCCATGATTCTTGCTTTGGGCTGGAAACTCTCAAAATGGGTTGGCAACATGATGCTTGGATACTGTGGCCTATCCACTGCCACCGACCCCCGAGAGTGAAGGCTGTGGAGGCATTGGGCCTGGGTTCTTCTTTGCTCCTCATTGACCTAAGGCCTAAGAAGATTGGCTGCCTTTGAAACAAATTATATTTGGCTTATCCTTTCCCTCACTTCATTGTGTTTCATGACCCATTTCAGACTTCTGACCCCACTAAAGTAATGGGAAATTAGGGAGAGATGGATGGAGAAAGAATGCAAAGGCCCAGGGGTAAGATGGGACGTGGGAAGGAGCAGGAAATGGAGGAGAAATAGATAAAGGGAGACTGAGGATGGAAGGGGAGAGAGAGAGTACAGGCATGGATGGGAGGCAGAATTCAAAAAGAACAGGGAGAAGAGGGAGAGACTTGGAGAAAGAGTTACAGGAAGGAGGCCAAATACAGGAGAATGACAGAGGTTATGGAAATAAGTGTTACAAGTTTAAGAAATTCATTCCCTCTCTTCCTCCCTTCTCCTTCCCTTCCGCCCTCCTTCCTGCCTTCTTTCCTTATTTCCTCCTTCCTTCCTTCTTTCCAACAAACACTTATTAACAGCCCACAATCTCACACACCATATTCTACATCAATATTCTAAGTGCTAAAGATGAAAACATGAATAAAACATGGTCTTTGCATGCAAGGAGTTTACAGTATATTAGGAGGCAGTGTTTAATGTGTGACAAGGTGTGGAAAGACCATCATAAGAGGCATGTGCACACAGCAAGGGGAGTGGATCAATCTACTGGGGGAGGGAAGGAGGGTCAAGGAGGCTTCATGGAGATAGCTGGGTTTCATGAAATGAGAAGAATCTCTGTGCTCTTCTCTTATGTAGTTCCCTCCCTATAGCTCTGTTGAATTATCGTCTTTCATGCAGGCCCTGAGTTAGTCATTCCATCCTCCATGTTTACGCAGTGCTGTGAAACAGCTTTATCTGCATTCACCTCACTGTATTGTAATCACTTCCTTCCATGTCTGTCTTACTCACTAGACTGATCTCTTTAAGGCCAGGAAACTTGTTTATTTGCTTTTATACTTATATTGCCCAGTACCTAGCACAGCACCAGCAAACAGCAGATGCAAAAAATCCCCTCAAAACCAAAAAACCACATTGAATGAAAGTGTTAGGCATATATAATTTCTTTCTTCTATTGGTTCCCATTTACATGGCTTACCACAACAACTGACTCCCCACACACTATTTCCATCACACCACCACAATTTGGGAGAAGGATGTTTCTCCAAATGCTTTTCTCAACATCCATGCCTTGCCTGCTCGCTTTTCCTTTCTTCTTCCTTCCCTTCCCTTTCTTTTGCACCTGCCTCTTCCCTTCTCCCAGGGTCCCGAGAAGAAGTGAGTTAACCTCAGTTTCCCTTTCATATTGGCTGTCTAGAACCTTTTTCTAAGAGTGTGGGGTTTCAGGGATCTCTTCGCAGGCAGAGCCTGGGGTGTGCACTAATATAATAAATTGAGGGCTCCTAGGAATGTCTCTTTCCTCAGAGCACAGACCTCACTTTGGCTTCTTTCTTCCTAGGGAGCCTTCATCCACTGCTGCTGGGCTATTTCCTGGAAACAGCATGGAGTTGGCCTGGAGGAATGGCCTGTTTCATGGAGTGGTGCCTCTCTGAGCTCACACCACTCAGCCCCGAAGAGGCTGCCTTTTTGACTTGAAAATGTAGGTGGAAGCCACCTGGCCTCCTCTCTCACACCCTCAGGAAAACTTCACTTCTATTGGGATGTATCCTATAGGTCTATGAGCTCACTGGACCACTACCACCCCTGGACCGAAGGGGCGGGATTGCATGGTTGTCTACATTGTAGTTGGCTTGGCCTGCATACAGTCACTCAGTCTATTTTTCTGAAGGAATTGTGTCTTTTAATCTTTGTCCACAATCCCAGGGACCTCAGTGATGGACACCTTTTAAAAACTGATATAAATAATTCTTTAGTTCACAATTACCACCTCTGAAAGCAGGATGCTTGGAAAGCTGGTACAATTTGAGGCAACAATTCAGACTCAGTCATCTCTTCAGAAAAGTTCTTAAGAAATGTATAGAGGAAACCAGATTGCAATCTGTTTGTGACAAGCGGCGGGAGAACATAATGTCTTCGTTGGAAACTGGAGTAATGCTGGCATGAAGTGGCACCTCCTCCCCTACAAGACCTCCTGCTTCCTCCCATTTTGTGAGCGAGACTATGAAACTCTCTAATGGTTTTGCCGAAATAAATCTAAGCCCTTAAAAATGTCACCCAACCTCATAGTTCCTCATTATTAAGGGCTACAAACACAGACTTAAAAAGGGAAAACCTAAATATTACTGAGTTAGTGTTTTATATTGAATGGAGTCTTTCATGATCAGAGATTAATTACAGCAAGGCTACCTATCCAGATACATGGGTCTAAAACAGCTACCCCACCTCCATGGCAGATACCTGATGTTTTCAGACTAGGAAAAGAAATGCCCAGCTTGGGTGATGATAAGACCTGGCAGGGCTGACAGGCTTTGGTTTCAGGACTATCTCTCTGTTCCCTCCTGGAAAGGGAAATGGAGCAGTGTGAGGAGCTATGGTGACTTCTCTGAGACGCAGGGCAGCAGTTGAACTGGGGAAGGGCCAGCAAATGAAGTTGGCTTGATGTGGGCTTCATGCTCCTGCTTAGGAAAGCTGGAAGCCCCTCACATGCTTGCACTAAGAGGGAATCTGGTTCTGATAGAAATCCTGCCAGTTCTTTCTGAAGGACACATTGTCCTTGAGGAAAGAGCCAACTATCATTCCTTACATGTGACCTGGTTTTCATGGTCAAGGAAACTGAAGTCCCATTCAGGGATGCTTGCCAAGCTCTTCAGTAGCAGAACGGATAACGAAGAGCTGGGGCTCAGGGCAGTGGTCAGGAAGCTTCCCCGAGGCTGGGCTAAGCTGCTCTGGTGGAGAACAAATGTGGAACAGAGAGCAAGTGGGGGCCATGGAGCAATCCCGACATGTCGTTTGTTCTCATTACTTCATTTATCCATTTATCTTTCATCCATCTAGCACATCTTTATTGAGAACTTATTATGCTTTAGGCATCAGGCCATTGTGCGAGTTGGTAGGACTCATTTTGGTGAGTAGGGGTGGGAGGTGGGAGAAGAGGAAATATAGAACTCTAAAGAGAAAGAAGGTAGAGAATCAGCTTTGTTGAAAATTTTCTGTGCCCTGTTTTTACACAGGTTGTTTCACTGAGTTTAATCCCATCCCTATAATGTTGCATTATAACAATTCTCATTTTAGTTGAGAAATAACCAATGCTTAGACAGGTTGAGTTAGATGAGTGCTGTGTATGGCTCCAAAATCTTTTTCACTGTAGCGCAGAGTCCTTGGAAGCTTACCATCTAGATGGGCAGGAACACATTCTCATGTGTGTTGGATGAATCAAGAGTTGGTAGACTCCATCCAAAACATAGACTGGTACTAAACATGAAATCACTTTCTATAAGTCATGAGCAGATGACTTGAGGCTAGTTAGTGCCAAATGAGTGGTTTAAATGACGATACTGTGGGAAGTGCTCATGGATGCCACTGGGGGATGAAATGAGATTCATGATGGTCCTTGATGAAGAGATGGGATGACTGTCCCTGGCCTGTTCAGAGGACAGATTGTTGCTTTGGTGGGCTGGAGTGTGGGATTTAGTCAGAGGCCAAAATGGAGAGGGCTGGGAAGGTACGTTAGGGCCAGAGAAAAAAGGCTTCAAGGTTTTTGAACTTTACAGGTGATTGAGATATTAAGAAGGAAAAAGATGTAAGAGTTCTTTCAAAAAATGAACCTGGCCATCACAGAACACAGGCTGGATCCTGCCTTAGATCATGATCTTTTGATGGGGGAGAATAAGGTGTAAACCAAAAACATTCACGTATAGCCCCACAGGGCTGGCTCTTAGCCTGATTCAGGACTACAGTCCACACCCAAAAGGAGTGAATCTTTGCTGGAAGATCTTAGAATTTTAAAAGATTTTGAGTTCTTTGTCTCCCATCAAAATTATTGTGGAAACTCTTCCCAAGAAGGTCTTAAAAAGAGGTGCTGATAGCTCTCACTGGTGATTGTTTAGCTGGAGGCACAGCAGAGAACTGGAGTCCGGGGATGTGATAATATGATAATATTATTATGATTATGATCATTATAATTCAAAATATGATATTATTTGGAAACATCATCTGAGGTTTCTCTTTCCTGAGCTTTGTAGACCCACTCCCTTGCCCTCCTCCATTTAGATAGTTGCTATTACTTTCTCCATGTACTGCCTTGGATGTGGAGGGCAGATACACTTGAACACAGATTTTCAACAATAAGATCTGGACTTTTTGAGAGCAAAACAGATTTTGGAGTAAAAAGCTCTGAGTTTTGAGTATCTGGAACCAAGAATTGGTAGGCCCCCAAACATAGGCCTACAGTAAAAGCCACAGAGTGAGGCAAAATGTACAAGGGTGTGGAATAGACTCTGTATATTGGGAGCAGAGAGACAATGACAGAAGGAGAGCAAGCAAGTGGCCCGACAAAGACAACAAGGTCTTGCATTTCCTATCTGGGACTTGCCCTGGTACAGGTGTGGGAAGGAGAGAAAGACCAGAAAGTTTGAGCGACTTGTGAGCAAGAAGATGTGTGCCCTAGGTTCGACATGTGTGCTCTCGGCTGCTTCAATAGTCAGGAGAGTGGAGGGGGCAGCCGGGAGATTCTTGAAAGGGAGAGCCCTAGAGCCGAGAACAGCATGGGAGAGTGTCAAGAGTCTCAGTGTCCCCCTGATTGGGTCTAGAGGTGGCTGAGAGGGTGAGGGCAGAGCTGTAGAGGCCTTGTAGATGGACCTTGTGTGATCCATGTGGACCAGATGACCTGCAAGCAAGGACTCTTTCAGTCCCACTCATGGGGCTGGCCCAATGACCAAAGACCAACAGGGGAGGCCAGAGTGGAGTGGATGGCTCTTCCATTACCAGATGGCACAGAAGCCTTCCATTTTTTCTTGCTTCCCAGAAGAATGGGAAGGAAAAGGGGAGAATTCTGAACTGTCTGAATATCTATGCAAAAGGGATAAAGAAAATTCCTGTGTCAGATTTGACTTTAAGAGCTGACTTTAGATTAAGCTGTTTGCCGGCAATGGAAATGGGGAGGTTCTCCTAAGAGCCAAGTTCAGTTTAATTTTTAATTTTTGCATATGGACTGTAAAATTCACTTCCTTTATATGATGTTTGAAATCCTTTCCAATGGGCTGATTCTCTCACAACTGGTCTGGCTTTTCTTCCCCCACCATACCTCTCTTCTTAAGCATGCCCTTTCCCTAGGCTGAGCATGGGTTGGTCCTCTCTTTGAAAATACAAGCTGAGACATAAGGTTCCAGTAGGCTTATCATGCATTTAATACTTTATCAGGATTCTATGTATTCCATTTATTTCAATTAAGACCATTGACTGAGCATCTGGTCTGTGCCAGGCTCTGTGCTGGATGGTGAGGAGCCAGGAAGAGGAAACAGAAACATATAGATGTTAAAGCTACTTTCTAACCTTTCCCAAGCTAGGGAGTAGCAGGGTGAGGTTGAAGGAAAAATGAAATAAGAGGTGAAAAGTTAAGACTTGGTTACTTGGTGATTTAAGAACCTTAATGTCTTTGGGCCTCAGTCTGCTAATCTGTAAAATTAGGGAGGAGTGAAGACCCCTCCCCCCCCCAAAATCCTTTAAGCCCTTTCCAGATGCTAAATTATATGGAACTTGTGACTTTCAAAAGTGAAGAATTGTTTAGTTAACTGAAGCCCTAGAAGGTAAGGGAGTTGATAGAATATGGCCAGTACAAGGACACTTGCTGTTCAATTCTGTTGTAACATCTTCAGGGAAGTGGCAAAGTCCCACCTTAAGTAAATCATATGGGGGTGAGTACATGGCTGATCACAGCCTGAGTTGTCCCAGTAGTGTTCAGGACCCAGGGAAGGAGTTTCTAGATGGTGTGTACTGAAGGGCCTGCTCTTGCAATATTATTATTATTATTATTATTATTAGTAGTAGTAGTAGTAGTAGTAGTAGTAGTAGCAGCAGCAGTATTTTGGCAGGAGAGAATCTGGAATTTAAGCTTATGCTACTGGGTGTGTTCGTTTTTGCTCATACTTACAAAGTAGAATGCCCGCCTACAATCATTACATGGATATCTGAAATCATCTGAAATATTGACATACTTGCCTTGTTTACAATTTCTAGCTGCTGACTGCATTCATAGACACTTTCGCATACCACTCCCTCCTGACTCAATTGTTCATTCACTCACTCAACACTCTACAAAAATTCATGGAGCCCCTATTGCGTGCCAGGTTTTGAGCCAAGCACTAGGAATGTAGAGATGAGGTGGAAGGCTCACAATGTAGCAGGAGGGAAAATAAGAGAAGCAAAAGTACTTGAATGATCCACTTGAGTCCGATGAAGAAGCCTTGCTAGAACTCTGCAGACAAAGCACTGGGCTACCCCTCATACCATACTTACTGGGGGTGTTTGTAGCTGGAACCAAGGGCTGGAGTCAGGGGTACAGTGGGAAGAACTCTACAGCTGACCAAAGAACCCATCAAATGGTGACTATATGACTCCTTTTCTATTTTTTATCTCTGAAAAGCAACAACCAATGATGAGAGATGGCGGGACCTCATATCAGTGGGGCTTCTGATGAAGTTGCACCAGATAATATAATAATATGAAAATACAAATATGATTTTTAAAAAATCCCAAAGAGTTTGAGTTCTTTGATAAAGTCTCCAGCCTAGGTTCTGGAAGCATGGACTTCTGTTGTGGAGTATGGTTACTAGGTGGTGGGGAAATGGGGAGCCAAGTTTATGCATCTGGACTGGTACTGGGTAGGGAGATCCCACTTCTTCAATCAGTGCCAGCTCAGAGCCACCAAGTTTGGTGCAGAAGGAGCACTTCATGGTGGGGGGAGGGGCTAGACCTCATAGCCTTTTCTTCCTCCCTCCCTCCCTCTTTTCCTTACCCCCTTCCTTCCTCTTTTTCTGAGATTTGCCATTTCCTTGGAGAATCTTATGAATCACTACTGCCATCATCAATCAGGTCTCAGGAGTGATGTTTAAACCCTTTAAAACCTTGGCCAAAGCCCAGACAAAATTCTTGGAGTACAACCAAAATAAGCTAGAACGTTCAACCTGACTTTACAGAAGACTGAGAAAGACAAGGGAGAAAACCTCCCATGCACATCATGTGCTTTGCTGACCCAAGAAGGGAGGAGAGTTTTCCCAAGACTCTCCTTCCTAG